AGACTGCAGAGAAGCAAGGAGCAGATAAAGCAGTATAAGACACATAGTTAGGATTTCACCTCTCTGTTTCTTTTGTTGATTTCCCCTTCTCCAAAATAAAGGTGTTTCTCATGCGTCCGTCCACAAACTAGGATATCTGATATTTATTGGTAAATGGATTTATTTTCACAATTTCAATCTGTTATGAATGGAAAGGGCATGGTAATAAGGTAAAAGTTCTTTGAGGGAGGTTGGTTGAAAGGTTAACTTGGGGACCAGTGTAGTGGCATGATGGGTTGACCCACCACCTGCATCTCATGGATGCTGGTTTCGAATTCCGGCTGTTCCACTTCCAATCCAGCTCCCCGCTAGTGTACTTGGGAAAACCACTGGGGGATGGCCTGGGTGCTTGGGACCTTGCACCTGCATCTGGGTCCTGGATGAGGCTCCTGGACTCAGCCTGGCCTAACCCCAGCTCTTGTGGCCATTTGAGAGGTGAACCAGGAGATAGAGGATCTCTCTCTCTCTCTCTCTCTCTCTCTCTTTCTCTCTTTCTCTCTTTCTCTAGCTCTGCCTTTCAAATAAATAAATAAATCTTAAAAAAAAAAAAAAGACTTAGTCCAGGTATTTTCCTGTCTTACAGGTCCAGAAATTCCAGTCTGTCCTTGACTGGGACTTGTTTGGACCCAGGGAGGGTGGTTCAGGGTAACTAGAACCTTGAGAAATCATTTTATTTTCCAGAAGTCTCATTTATTAATTTCAGAAGGGAAAATATAATGGCTACATGATTAGGTTGTAGGAACAATCTCTCTGTCGCCCATTCTTTTCAGATCTATTTGATTACTTCAAGTAGGTAAATAAAAATTTCAAACTCACAAATATTTATTCAGAATTTATATCTCACATATTGTGTTGGCTGGGCGAGGTCTGTCTGTGAACCAGGCAGCCATTTTCCTGGTCTTCATGGATTTCATGGTCCTATGGGTCTAAATTTAGTGAGCATAAAATCCGAGTAGTTCTATGATTTAAATGTTTAATGACATTGTCATGATTTGAACATGGTTTGTCCCCTCTGAACTCATGTTGGAATTTAATCCCCATTATGAGATATTAAGCGGTAGGACCTCTAAGAGATGACTAGGGCTTTGTTCTCATGAACGGATTAATCCATTTGTGTGGTTAACGGTTTGATGTGTCACTTTGAGAGTGGGTCTGCTGCAAACAGCAGTTTGGCTAAGTCCCATGCACCTCCCTGTCTCATCATGTGATGGCCTGGACTACTTAGGGATTCTGCCAGCAAGGAGGATGTTACCAGATGTGGTCCTTCAACCTGGAGCCAGACCATGGACAAAAATGTCTCTTTTCTTTCTACTAAAGCCATCTGTGTTATTGCAGCACTAGAAACAGAAAAAACGGACTAAGACAGACAATTTAGCTATGTTAGCCAGATGTACCCAGCTCTGTAACAAGGACATGGTCACAAAAGGACTGAGAAGATTGAGTCCAAAGGCCAGGGCATCCTTCCCCTTCCTGGCATTAATTAATTCACTTTGCTAATGTATTACTCTCTGCCTTTCATTTTCTACATTTTAGGTTCACTACCTAATTGCCTTACTTTGATACATCAATTCTTTTATTTTAAAGTGTTTATTCATTTATTTTATTAATAATAAAATTAATTAATTAATTAAATTGTATAAAATGCTTATACATGGGTGTGGTACATTGAATGAGAATGCTCCGAGCCTTACCTGTGGGCCCCAGGCTCTTCCACACATATGAACTTAATCTTCACATTGAACCCAATGAGGGAATACAGGATTTTTTCTTTTGACTTTTTTTCTGTTGTGGTAAAATATACACAGCATAAAATGTAGTAGGCATAGTTTTTAATCTCTAATGCACAGAGAAATGAACTAGAAATGGAGGAATTTACTTAAGGACATGCATGCAGTTGAACTGGGATTTTAGGGACTGAGTACCTGTCTAGGGTTTTTGCTTACAACTCCGCTGCTGTATTCTTCCTCCTGGGGTACTCATGTTCTTTTCCTTCTCTATCAAACTCCATTTGTCTCGTGGCTATTTCTCTTAGGTGACTTTCCATTATCTTAAATCAGGAGTTCTTACCTGGATCCCACAGGTGAGTTTCAATGAATATCTTTAACCTTTGTATTAATCAGGACTCTTTTCTATATAAGTGGCAGAACTGTGACTCAAACAAACTTAACCCTGGAGGAATAGCAGTGCAGCCTAAGGTACTTCCTGGAACCCGGGGGCATGGATTGCAGGAAATAATGTGACCAATCTGTGGACTCACTGCCCTTAGGACACACTCTCCTTCCTGTGTCTTCTTGTCTGTCTGACTCTCCATTTTTTTCTGTTTCTCTTTTCAGATGCAGCATTTGAACACTCTCTGTTTTGCAGGCTCATGTGTTAGGAAATACATCAACTAACAGCACTCACAGATTAAGCTGCTAGGGAGAGACTGATGTGGTCTTTTGGACATACAAAACTTCCAGTGTGAAACTTCTAGAAAAGGTTCTGATCAGCCCAGCCTGAGTTAAGCACACTCTGGTAGCCAATGCCAGAGTGTACATTACAAATTTTAAAGCATACATAAGAATGAATGCATTTTTTTCTTGACAAGAAGAGCTGTTGGTTCCATCAGATTTGTGAAGGTGGAATAAAATAATAAAGAACATGATAAACCCAAAAGAGCCCAAATCATGTCCTGCTCTTATTCCAAACCAGTCCTCCTGGTGCCTCTGCTCCTGCCACTGGTACCCTAGTCTTTAAGACTGCTAGGCTTGTTCCTTTGTTGTATTTTGATTCCTCACTGTTCTTTATCCCACATTCAGTTATTCAGAAGGATTTATTAAATTTTTCCCATGCAGTGGTTACTCAAATGATTACCTTTTATTTCCTCTGCCACAATCCTTGACTTTAGCTTATTAAATAGTAATATATTCCTAGCCAAATCTTTATCACTCGTCTCACCTTGCTTAACTCCACCCTTGTAGATGAGTATTTTAAAAACAGCTGTGCTATCATATATTCATTCATTATTTATTTGAAAGGCAGAGTTAGAGAGAGGCAGAAGCAGAGAGAGAGAGAGAGAGAGAGAGAGAGAGGTCTTCCATCTTCTTTTTTACTCCCCAGATGACCACAACAGTTGGAGCTGTGCCAATCCAAAGCCAGGAGCCAGGAGCTTCTTCTGGGTCTCCCACATGGGTGCAGGGGCCCAAGCACTTGGGCTACCCTCCACTACTTTTCCAAGCCACACTGTTATTCTTCTGCTCAGAGACACTGCGGTGTCTTCTTTCCTGAACAGTAAGAAAGATTCTTACACTGGGCCAACTCTCTATCCTCTTACCATGGACATTTTTCTCTTTTTATTGGTAAACTCTGGTTCAGCTATACTTTTTGCTCAGGGGTCTGTTCTTTAGACTTGCATTGCATTTTTTTGTTTTTCACACCAATGCTTGCTTTTATTAATAAGGTGACTCATCCCCAAAAAGGGTCCATTCTTTGACCTAAGGAGCAGTTATACTCCAAACCTCTTTTTTTTTTTTTAAGATTTATTTACTTATTTGAAAGGCAGAGTTACAGAGAGGCAGAGGCAGAGAGAGAGAGAGAAAGAGAGACAGAGAGAGACAGAGACAGAAAGAGATATCTTCCATCCACTGGTTCACTCCCCAAATGACCACAATGGCTAGGGCTGAGCAGATCTGAAGCCAGGAGCCAGGTACAGGGTCCGAAGGATTTGGGCCATCTTCTACTGCTTTCCCAGGCCATAGTAGAGAGCTGGATCAGAAGTGGAGCAGCTGGGTCTTGAACTGGCGCCCATATGGGAGGCTGGCACTGCAGGCAGTAGCTCTACCCACTATGCCACAGTGCTGCCCCCCCAAACCTCTTCTTAATCATTATTCAGTTTCCAGGGCTTCCTTGGAGACTCAATGCCACTGAAAAGCTGGGAGGTGTTCAGTTTCCTTCCTTCTCTCCATCTCTAACTTTCTCTTATTCTACTTTCCTCTAAAAGTAGTCCCATCCTATCCCAGTCAGACTTCTTTCCCTCCTTCTTGTGACATCTTACAGAACTCTGTGTTTTATTCATGTTGACACTCAACTCTATTACATGCTGTATTAATATTTACATGTCTGAAGCATTTTGTCTCCAAAATTTGTTTCTCAAATCAATTATATATGCCCAATGGCATTTATCACAGAGGTACACATACAGTTGGCACAACATTTATAAATGTCAATGGAAAATAGCTGAGAATTTACTTACTTTATATATGAATTTTTTACTTTTTAATAGAGGACACTGGAAACATCTAGCAGTAGTAGCTCCTCTAAGTAGAGATGTTTTTAAGCTAGTCTGGAAATTATTAAATATTGACCAAAGGTTGAGGTGGTATTTGGTAGGGAAAATGTTGAAACTATTGGGTTCGAAGTCATCAATTGAAGATCAATAAGAAATGAGATTACAAAAAAAAAAAAAAAGAGAGAGCGAGAGAGAAACTCATGTACATCAATTTTTCAGAAATATTTTCATTGTGTAACATGGCTCTCATTTTTAAAATGATGCATTCTGTGTTGTTACTTGTATTTTTAAAATAAAGACTTATTTCTTTATTTGAAAGGCAGACTTACAGAGAGAGATGAAGCCAGGATCCAGGAATCAGGAGCTTCATCTGGGTTTCCCACATGGGTGTCAGGGACCCAAGTACTTGGGCACTTTTCCTCTGCTTTCCCGCATGCGTTTGCAGGGAACTGAATTGGAAGTGCAGCAGCCAGGACTCAAACTGGGCTGCCCGCACTGCAGGCAGGGTTAACCCGCCATGCCACAACGCTGACCCTTACCTACCTTTTATACAGTAGGAACAGTGTAGCTAATAGAGGATAAAGTTTGTGTTTGGATTCAGGTTGTGGCCCTACCGGTCATCCAGCATGACTTTGAGCTGTTTGTTTAACGTCTCAGAACCCCCATTAATCTAAAAAATTGAGATAACAGTTACCTGATAGGCGGTTGTGGGTGTTAAATGAGGTAGTATTTATAAGGCAGTCTGTACTGGCAGCCAGTATGTGATCCACCAATGGAGGACGCTGTTACTCTTTATTCTGTAGGGAGAAAGTAGAGAGAAGAGGGTAGATGATGGTTTACTTAAGAGACTTAGGAGTGCCAAGACATAAACAGAAATACGTGATGGTACAGAGATGTCAGATCAAGGATAGGCATTTTGAATGGTGGAGATGGCACTGATACGTGGGGAGATCTAGAGTAAGGGTGGACTACTTTATGGACAATTATTTGCAGGTTCCTCTTCATGAGACAATTATGTTTGCAAGTCTAAATTATAATACTCTAGTATGAATTTGTTGCAGGTAAAAAATTAGCATTTTAAGGACTGCAGATATTAGTGACAGGCAGGGAAATCAAGGACAGGAGGTGAGGACAGGGGTGGCTTCTGTCTCCAGTGTTGCCTCTGTACCCCACCCTCACTTCTGTCAGGGATATAGGGTTTCCTCCACACTGGTGGATTGTGGCAGCAAATCGCAGAGCTTGTCAATAGAACCATGTGGAAGAGAACTGGCTGAATAAGAGCTTGTTGGGTGGTCAAAACAGCTGGCAGCTGTTCCATTCTAGTGGGTACTGGCACTGCCCAGTATGAAAATGGGATTTGGGAAAGGTCAGCCCAAAGAAATGGGGACCTTTGGAAATATGAGGAGGCGAGTGAGTCAGAGTTCCTCACGTCATCAGACCTGGAGACCTTGTAGGTCATAGCTATCAGAGCTTACTGTGGGAAAAATCTGACAAAGAGCTGTGTTCCTAAAGTGGAATGATTACAGTGCTTTTCTCCTGTCCAGGAAGACAGGTTTAAAGGTTTTCCTTTCCTGAATTATTACTACACTTTTCGCACTTTCTTGTGAAAAAGTTTCAAACAAATTTTAAAAGAACAAAGGCATATCATTTCTTAAAAATTCATCTTTTTTGAATGTAGTGATCCGCATAAGCATAGTCCAGCCAGATTTAGTGCTGGTAGCATTGTGTCAAGTCCACAGGACAGAATTAAATCTGTCAATATTTCATGATTTCTAGTTGCTGCCACCTGAACTATTTTGAAAAACTACATGTTATACCATGACTGCCTTTTGTTATCTCTGCTGGGAAAAATGTTATCAGCTTCAGTGAAACTCATGGGGAAAGAGTTAGATACAAAGTAATCTTTAAAAAGACCAAAGGAGAATTAAGTAGGGTAAATTCAAGTGTAAGAAGAATAATATAATAGCAACTATTGTTTCCTGAGCACTTTTGTGTACCACTCTCTGTGCTAAGTATTTTCCAAAGTTTCATTTAATCTTTACAAGCATCCTGCGAGGTATCATGACCTACATTAGAGGAAGAAAAGAAGGTTCTCAAGATTAGCTCAAGGTCACAAAGCTGGTAAGTGGTGGAAGACTGATTAAACACAGGTTTTCTGACTCCAGTGATGGTGACCTTGTAATGTTTCTTTGTGTGTAAAACTGTATGTTAAAATACAATGCTTCTTTGTGTGTTAAGTCTGAGATTAAAGAGCAGGTGTTTAGCCAGAGGCTAAGACACCAGCAGGGTCTATCAGAATGCCTGGGGTTCAATACCTGGCTCTAGCTCCTGACTCCAGCTTCCTGTTCATGCAGACACTGGCAGGCAGCACTAATAGCTCAAGTAGTTGGGTTTCTGTCACCCACATGGGAGACCTGGATTGAGTTTCTGGTTCTTTGTTTCAGCCTTGCCCAGCCTTAGCTGTTCTATTGCAGGCATTTGGGGAGCAAGCCAGGTGGTGGGAGCTCTGTCTGTCCCTCTCTCAAGTAAATGTTAAAAAATTTAAATGAGAAACCAACTGATTTTTCTGTGTATGTTTGTACACAAACATCTCACACACAAGAGTATTTTAAAAAGTTTGTAGAGGGGCTGGCACTGTGGCACAGTAGGTTAATCCTCTGCCTGTGGCACCAGCATCCCATATGGGCACCAGTTCCAGTTCCGGCTGCTCCTCTTCCGATCCAGCTCTCTGCTGTGGCCTGGGAAAGCAGTAGAAGATGGCCGAAGTGCTTGGGCCCCTGCACCGGCGTGGGAGACTGGGAGGAAGCTCCTGCCTCCTGACTTCGGATCGGCACAGCTCCAACTGTTGTGGCCATTTGGAGAGTGAACCAATGGAAGGAAGACCTTTCTCTCTGTCTCTCCCTCTCACTGTCTGTAACTCTACCTGTCAAATAAATAAATAAATAAATGATATTTTTAAGAAAAGTTTGTGGAAAATAGAATTAATTTTCTTTATTTTATTTTGGTGCGAAATTCTTGAAGTGCACACACACTCCTACACCTTTGTAACCATTAATAGATCAGCATACGTTTCCAGCAACCTAGAAGGCTCTGTGCTGTCCCTCCTCTGTCAATTGCCTTCTTACATAATCACTACCCTACCTGCCTCTATGACCATAGGTAGACGGTTTCAGTTAATATATTTTTTTGGGAATTATCACCAAAAGATTCCATAATGTCAGTCCATCACTTTGTTATTTTAGCTGTTAGTTTTCAGAGCTGCTCTAGCTCTGACTTTTCAAGCATTTCCTACAGTGACCAGATGTTGGACATGGCTTCATATCCAGTCTCTTGCATTGCTCTGAAAATAATACTATTAAAAAAAAATCAAAGAAAATGCCAGGTGAAGTGCGAGGGGACGGGGTCGATGCAGTTGGGCTGTTATCACACAAACAGACCTCTCTACCTACCTCGGGAGCTGAGGACACAGCTTCCTTGATTGATGTAATTTCGCGAATCTATTTCCAATCATGGCATCTCATTAGGAAGTGGATGATTACAAAAGGTCATTTCAGTTTATGGAAGGGAAGACTAGCCAGGCAGAGCATGCAATCCTGACTGCTCTGCATCCTCTTGCAGCACCCGAAAGCACTTTGATTCCAAATAGCTTCCACAGTTGACCTGCCGTTTCGCAGGAGGGAAAATAGAGGGGAAGAAGGTCCAGGTGGAGGTGCAAGGGGACGGGAGACCTCGTATCCTCAACGAGGCTTCCCCGCGGTGGCTTTCGCAGGCTTGCCGCCCAGCTCTCAAAGCCACATGGCTGCGTCTCCACCCTGGAGGCGGAGCGGCGTCACACCTGCACCTCAGGCTCGCAAGCTGTGGCGCGTGCACTTCTCGGCAGACGGTCTTCTTCCTCCCTCTCCATTACCACCCCTCCCCGCGCGGTCGGTCGGTCGGTCGGTGGTATTTTTTTTTTTTCCGCCTCATTCTGATTCCCACCACAGCCAACTGTGGCACCGTGAAACAATCTAAAAATCACAATCGAAAGCCCAGGAAGCAAGAACTGACACTTGTAGGCTTCGATGACTCCAGGAGGGACACGTGCCTGAGGTGACCGAAGGTGGGGCAATCTAGAGGAACGGTTTTCTGGCCATCAAAGCGAGAGGACAAGCCCTGAAGTGGGCGCACGTGACAGCGGCCGCCACCTCGAGAGTGACATCACCCTGGGGGCGGGGCCGGGCTCTGCAGGGCCTCGTCAGCTCCTGAGCGTCTTCCCCCTTCCCCACCAAAAGCAGTCCACCCCGCCAAAGCCCCCGCCCCCCACCCGAGGAAGCGAGAAATGCCCAGACACCACAGAGCGCCGGGGCGCTCTCTCGCCTTCGCCCCCAGCCGCTCCCCGGCCCCGAACTACGGAGGGGGAGGGGCGGGGGCGCGCGCTCCACCACGCACGCGCCCCCACGCACGCGCTCTCCCTCCGCGCTCGCGCTCCTCCCCACCCCGGCCCGGAGGGGGCGGGGCTGCGGGCGGCCTCCAAGGGTGCGACGCCCCCGGCGCGGCGGCGGCGCTAGCGAGCGGCCGGCCGGGCGCGGGTTGCAGGGAGCGCTGCTGCGGCGGGGCCCGCTGGCACAGCCGCCTCCCGCGAGCCGCCCGCCCAGCGGGAGAAGCCGAGAGCGCCCCGAGCGCCGGGCCCGGGGCTGCCGGCGCTGCCCTCCCGCCGCCACCCTCCGCGCCTCCTCGGGGCGGCCCCGCCCCCGTTCCCATCCCCCTCGCGCTCACCTCCCGGCTGTGCCGCGCGCGAGGCGGAGCGAGGCGCCCGCCGCCGCCGCCGCCGAGCTGAGGGGCGAGAGGCTGCCCCCGCGCCGCCGCTGACAGGAGGACCGCCGCGGGCTGTGCTCGCCGGCCGCGAGGCCCGCCGCGCCGCACCCGGGCGCAGAGCCGCCACGGGGCGTCGGGGGGCAGCGAGGTGCTCTGAGAGACGCGGGCGGCGCCGGCGGGCGGCGCGATTCTCACCGGAGACCCCGAGGGCTGGGGCTTGACCCCGACGTGCAGCGATCCCCTCAGAGCGGCAGGTAAGAGCCCGCGGGGACCGGGAGAGGAAAGGTCGCTTCGGTGACAGGGGCGTTCGCCCGCAACGCCTCGGCTCTGGGGAGAGGGGCGGGGGCGAGCGGGGAGACGGCGAGGTGGGCAGCGGCGTGCCTCCCTCCGGGGCCCAAGGCTGGCTCCGAACGTGGCACCAGGGTGGCTTCAGAGGGGTAGAGATCGGCCGCTTGGCTGTCACCGAAGGTGTCCTGGAATGTGGTACCTAGAGAGTGTCTGCATGCCGGGGACCCGGGATGAGATGCGAGGCACAGTGCTGAACGTGGCGGGGAATGTGGTGCAGAACGAGTTGCAAAATGTGCCCCCAGAATGCAGCATAAAAGTAGTTGTGAAACGTGCCAGGTAGGGCACAGGTTGGGCTGGCCTGTGTGTCGTTGGAATGCTCGGTGGAGGTGTTATTAGTGAAATTAGTAATTCCTCTGGGAAGGGAGGTGTGGTATAATAAAAGATTAATAAGGCTCATGGCTAAGATATTTTACTACGGGAAATCGAGAGCAGCTATGGTTAGCTGCCCCCCCTCCCCGAGATAAAGTATCCACGTGAAAGAAAAAAAAGCAAATTGTGGCTGGTTGTGAGATGGGAAAGAAAAAATAGGGCTGAAATAATTCCAAGCTTGGCCGTCAGCGTGTAGAGCACTGATACAGTTGTATCCTGTCTTCTGTTCCAGGTGTGGAATGTTTAGAATGGTTTTCACAAGACATAAACAATGATAATTAACATTAGGAAGAAGATTTGGTGTTGTGGGTGTCCTTCTCTGCTCCTCTCCAGGAAAATTAAAGGAAAAAACCCCACAACCATACCAAACATCTTGATCATAATTGTGAGTTCAAGATCATTAGGCAAATGGAAATATTTTTCATATGTGCTCCTTTCTTGATTTTTGCATTAGGTGAAAATATCTGGAATGAGGAAAACAAAACAATATGGTGAACAAAAGGGATACATTTTCAGGCATTTTGCAAGGTTGGAGCCAAAAGCTAGTGCAGTGGTTAATTACAGAATGGCAGTGTGAAATATTCTTGTGTGTGGTTGGTGTTGGGACCGTGAGATAAGAAAAAAAGAAAAAGGAATACAGAAAATTGGCATAAAGAGCAACAACATGGAATCTGTCAGTGGAGCGCTTCTTGCAGCATTTCCCAGGTAGAACATCCTAGGAAATGTGAGCACAAAAACAAAATGTTCAATACTCCCTTTCTCTCCCTCCCCTCCCTCTCTGTTTATCCATATATGTATATGTGTGTATATATATGACATTATCCACATGCTACCAACATTGTGACTTCAATTTCAGAGCAACATCTGTGTTTAAAGAGGATTGTCAGAACATAGCTGGAATTTAAGAAGTAAGAAAAGACAGCTCGATGAGCTATTTATAATATCACTTATATGTATATATACAGTGAGTGTATATGTTGTGAAACAAAAGCAGAGATTATCTGGTTGGGTTCATTAGTATATATTTAATTGATGATGATTAACATCAACACTACTGGTTTTCATGTTTTATATTGTTGTTCTTGCAGATAATTTGAATTTCTTTTCTGATTATTCTTATTATAGTAATTTGCCAGATAAGCTGAAAATCCATACTGATGGGCTTCCCTTTGGATCCAAATTCAGACATTGAGGTTCATTTGCTTCAAAGACAAAACTGGGTTTTCCCTGGTGATTAATTTGGGTTTTTATTTTTCTCTATACATGCCTCCCTCACCTTGAGGCTCTGTTGGGGCTAAAGAAGAGAGGAAGGGCCAGAGAGAATAAAGAGCAGTTCTCTTGGGTCTTTCTGTTTTGTTCTGACTGTAAGCCATATGTACTGCCACCCCCTACTGTCTGTAGGAAGAGGTGTTGCAGAACCCCATTCTTTTCTTGTTATCACTGCCCCCTTGTGTAAGGGAAGAAATTGATAGTTGCACTTTTGGAAACCAATCCTCTCAGACTGTTATGGGTAGAATAGTTATGTCGATTTATTAATCACCTATTTTCCTTACAATTGCAGGGTTTTAAACTTACCGTTAATCAGGCTTCATATTTTATAGTCAGTAATTCAAATTGCTGAGAATATTTTCCATATGTTCAGAAAGATGGTACAAGACTTATAGTAGTAGTAGTTCTAAGAGCTCATATACATACATAGCACCTACTTTGCTCCAGTACTGTTATACGTGTTTTAATCAGGTCCAGTACCCTAGGGGGTATGTGCTTTTATTTGTGTTCTACAGATGAGAAACTGAAGTGCACAAAGGTTAATTAATTTCCGCAAGTATATATAGCTAAGGAATGGAAGACCTAAGTTTCAGTTTAGGAACATGGGCTCCAGATTCTTCACCAGTATACTATCAAGGGTGCTTCAAACAGGTACATGAAAAGATGAAATTAAAAAATAAGCTTATTTGGGTGCAAAAAAATGAAGTCCATGCATGATTTTTTCTTAATATACATTTGCTGTGAACTTTCTGAAGACCCTTCATATTAGTATAGACAAAGCCTAATTAAAATGCATATGCCCATCATAAAGCAAATACAGTTGATATGGGTAAACCTGGTACAACTCATGTAAATGTTAAACCTGTATATACACAAAAATATATTTATAAAGTGAACATTTCTCTTTATTTTTCAAGATTTTTTTTTTTTGAAAGGCAGAATTTGAATTAGAATTAGACAGGGAGGACAGAAAGAGATGTTCCATCTGCTGGTTCATTCCCCAAATGGCTGCAAAGGCCAAGGCCAAGCCATGACAAAGCCAGGAGCCAGGAACTTCTTCCAGGTCTCCCATGTGGGTGGCAGGGGCCCAAGTACTTGGGCCACATTCTGCTGCTTTCTCAGGTGCATTGTAGGGAACTGGATCAGAAGTAGAGCAGCCTGGACTTGAACTGGCACTCACACGGGATGCCAGTGTCTCAGGCGACTGCTTAACCTGCTGTGCCACAATGCAACTCCCTCCCCCCATCTAATTAGCAAATTGGTTT